CTTCCATTGTATAAATTAACTAAAATAATTGACCTCAATGGTCTTTTCACTATGAATGACTTTGTGTGAGAAAGCTAGTTCTTACTTTCATAGAATGAGGTAGGTTTATTTCTTTCTCTTAAGTGAATTAAGACAAAAATATATGATGTGCCAAGACTTCAATATGTCCCATGTTATAATTAGGATTGATGAAGTCCTACCCAAGAAAGCAGTAGACATTGAATCAAAAGAGGAAAGATAATGTTTAACCTGCCAAGCAGAACAATAAACGAGATCTATTACTGTGAAGGTGTTTAGAATTAGCGTTTCTCACTCAGAGAGGCACCGACCAACAGCAAATGCAAAACCAATGAGGACATCAGAATGACACTTGAAAGACCTTAACAAAAAAATATGGCATCATGCTGGGATTTGTGAGGTGAGAAATAGTGACTTCGGCCTGATGCAATGTCTTTTATAAGCCATGACAATTAGAGGTGAAAATGGAAGTGCTATTCAATTACTTTGGGCAGTATCTTTCCACCTGCATGAGATTAACGGGGCACATTTCACAATAGACATCTCAAGAAATCTAACTAACCATTTGTGCAATCTTAAGTGGATAGGCTGTAATTAAATAAGCATTTTACATCCCAGTTAGGCCGGTCCCAATGAGCAAGTCTAAATCTTGTTTTCAGGATCAAATTGCATTTTGTGACAGCACCTCCCTCCTTGCCAGTCTGACCTTCCAATGGGGACAGGCATTTCAGAGTAAAGGCAAACATGCCTAACAGATAAAGACAGCAGAACACTCTCCAGAAGACTGGTGAACTGTTCAAAGTCACAGTGCATTGGAAACAACAGAGATTATGCTAACTTCAGAAAGGTAATTCTGGTTTCAGGGAACCTAAGACTGATTTACTAATCTTGATAAACCAGGCATTCAAAATAGACCAGGGCAGAGGACCTGGTCATGGCACCCTGAAGGCACTGTCTGCCCCATGACCTTGGCACTTACTAAAACCTAGTGTATATTGTAATTTATTGTCTAAGATCTGTTTGTCTTCCTGAGTAGATTGGAGGCATCTCAAAGGCAGAGATCAAGGTGAACTGTTTGGGCATCACCAGTACCTTCCATGTGGGCTGTTCGAATGTTTGTTCTAGTTGTTGTTGGTGATGCTCTTAGGTAGATAAGTAAGTTAGTTAATTAACAGAGTTTAGAAGCACAAAAGCATCCAATTCCTTCTAAAAATTTGGCAGTTCATTCTGAATAAATCAAAACTGCAAATATATCTTCACCTTCTCCGATCCTTTTTCGGTTGGAAGTCATGCCAGTTACGTCAGCAATTGCCTGAGCATGGGCTGTGGAATGGGTCCTACATGTTTCTTGTAGGTATTGCAGGTAAAATTATTCCATGGTTTAATAATTTGGAGGACATTCGGGGTGAAATGAGGTTTAAAGAGATTTCTTTATTATAGGGTTTCTCAAGTTTTTGAATTGTGCCAATATCATTTACGAGTCTTCAGAGTTAGAAGGCAGATGGTATGGATTTACTAACTCATGTAACTCTTTTTATGGAACTGAGAGACTGGTGTGGTCTGAGGAACACACTTTGGGAAATGCTGAACCAGACACATTTTTAATGTAGGCTCCTTCTGTTAGAAAATTTTCACAGTTGAGCACCTAAATTGAAAGACCTTCCATTCTGTAAACCTTCTGGAATCATGGTTCTCAACCTTGACTGTCCACTAAAATCACCTGGGAGCTTTAATCAAGCCAGTGCTGAGCCCCCCCCCCCCCAGCTAAAGTCAGGGTCTCGGAGTGAGTATTCTGATCTATAAAATGGAAATAATAGTACCTACCTCACAGAATTGTGAAATATAAATGAGATCATATATGGAAAATGTCTGCTCTGGTGCCCAAAACAAAAAATTAGGCTTTGAACAAAATGTTTCCTTCTAGGGATAGTGTAGAATTCCAATGAAGAAATATAGAAGATGTTATGAAAAAAGAAAATCACTGTTTGGCCACACCATGGTTCTGCATCAACAGATGCTAACAATATATGAGAAACAGGATGTTTGCATGGCCTAAGTATTTCCCCACAATATACTTATTAATTACAAAGGGAAAAACAGTAATTTTACCATGGAAAAAATCTTGAAGTCTTCATCTGCACTAAATGATGAAAGGTAACCTCGTCAGTAATGACACACATCAATACCACGTGCTCCCTGGTACAAGGGGACACTGAGAAGACGTCATGACTTCTGTAGTGTTCTTGCCAAAAATACCTTTTCTGGAGAGATTATACAAGGAAACATCGGCAAACCTAAGTCAAAGAACATTTTTCAAAATTACTGGCCAATAATTTTCAAAAGGATCGAGGTCATGAAAGAAAAAGACTGAAGAACTGTCCCTGTTTGGAGGAGACTAAGAAACTAAATGCATTGTGGGGGCCTGGATTGAATCAGGGACCAGAATAGGAATATTAGTGGAACAACTAGCATGAATTCAATAAGCTCTGCACATTATCCATTTCTTCAAGATTGTTTACAGAATGTTGATAATTATACTACACTTCTGTAAGATGTTAACATCCACTGGAGTCTATGGATGAAGGGTAAATGAAACTCTGTCCTATTTTGAAACTTTTTGGTGAGTCTCAAAAGTTTTCAAAATGAAAAGTTAAAATACTAGAAAAAGTTAATGCTTCTTTATTTCTTTCTCATTCAGGAGCTTTCAAGATAACGGAATCAATATTTGAGGAGGTTGTTTGTTTGTTTGTTTTCTTTTCCCTCATGGGTGTTTGGAGTTTAGGGGAAATAAGCCTCTCTATACTGTAGAGTCTACATTGAGCGTAGGAGGGAGTGGCCCAAGATGGGAAATTTATCAAGCATTTCCTGTGATTTGGAAACATGTGATCCTGAAGCAACCCTGTCATAAACATCAGATAGAGAAGATTTGGTAGAAGTGGGGAAAAACGCAAAAGCAATCCAAGAAAGAAGAGGGTAGGAGCCCAGGAAGTGGTAAGGAGAAATTAGGAGCTGCTAGATATGGGTTTCAAAAAAGGATTTGGTTTTTGAGTAAGGACAGGAGAAAGGGAGACAGTTATGGGTGTAGGGAATAGCTATATAAGATACTTAAAAGGGCAGAGAAGGGACAGAAGAATTTAAAGATATTTTTATGGCATCATACATGTTAAGTTCTTCCTGGCATTTGCCTGTAAGCTGGCAGTAGAGATTTTGAGTTTTTTCTAATTTTTGTTCTTTTTTTTTTTCCTTTGAATATTACTCTATGCTGAAACTCACCCTCCAGGGGCCTGGTTATAATTCGGTTACACTGTGACACGGTCCAGATCATGTGCTTTTCTTGGAAGACAGATGACAAAGCCATTAACCTGGTAGCCCTTTGGCCTTCTGAAGAAAGGTGGTTTGGCCTGGAAACTCAAATGTCTGAGAAACCACGCAACACAGTTCTGTGCTGCCGGGCAGGAATGGGGGCCTGCACCGCAGGACCGAGGAGGATGGGGGGAGCGGTGTGGCCGAGGAGCTGCTTGGAGTCTCTCATGGATTGTCTTCACCTGCAATGCCCACTGGTTTCTTCCTAATCATTTTCAGGACTGGAAGCCAGAAGTCCATCTGTAAAGACAAAAGGATGAATGAATAAGCATTAGAGTCATTTCAAATGCCTCTGACGTAAGCTTTTCATCATGGGCTGCTCGTGTCAGGAAAAAATGCAGACTTGGAATGGCCAGGGGCACCTGGGTAGCTCCATCGATGAAGTGTGTGATTCGTGGTTTCAGCTCAGGTCATGCTCTCACGGCTGTCTGGGTTTGAGCCCCACATTGGGCTCTGTGCTGGCAGTGGGGAGCCTGCTTGGGATTCTCTCTCTCTCCCTCTCCTGCCCCTCCTGCACTTGCACTGTCTCTGTCTCTCTGCAAGTAAATCAACTCACAAAAAAGTAAAGAAATAAAATGGTCTTGCACCATTATAAAAAGTAGGAAAAAAAAAAAAGAGAGAGAGAGAGAGAGAGAGAGAGAGATTTGGAAACGGCCAGAAATTTATCCTTGTGGGTTACTTAGCCTTTCATTCTTTATGAGCTATTTCCCCATTCTCAACTATCAGGAGCTCATAGCAACAATGGGCCTGATTCTTATCCATGGACATGAAAATGACTTTCACCCTGTAGAATTCAATTAATCCTCCCATCCACCTTGTGGAAGAAGCCAGTTTTGCATCAGTAAGCACATTCATTTGGGTATTCCTTTTTTAAAAAAAGTTTTAATGTTTTTTATTTATTTCTGAGAGAGAGAGAAAGACAGCGTGAGCAGGGGAGGGTCAGAGAGAGAGGGGGATACAGAATCTGAAACAGGCTCCAGGCTCTGGGCTGGCTGTCAGCACAGAGCCCAACACGGGGCTCGAACCCACGAACCGTGAGATCATGACCTGAGCTGAAGTCGGACGCTTAACTGACTGCGCCACCCAGGCGCCCCTCATCTGGGTATTCCTGATGACATATATACGTGTGTGCTTTAAATTGTTCTTTAAATTGGCTGGAACTTCCTACCATTACTTCATTAATTAATAAGTTAAATAAAATCTTTGATGAGCATTCATTTTATGTGTAGGAAGTCATTATATTATCATATCTATGTATAAATATACATATATGTTGTATATATGAAAATCATCACCATCATATATATATGTATATATACATCATATATATACTTTAATGCTGCAGAATGAGGAAATTATTTGAAGTTTACCAAGCCTTAGTGGATAGTTCCCTCTGTTATTTATTTGTCCTTGACATGATTAGTAACTCTTATTGGGCACTGTCCTTTAATAATAATTGCAGAGGGTCTTCCCAGTAGCCCCTCTACCTTATGGCTAATGTACCTACTTGAAGTCAGTGTTTTGAAAAATATCTTGCAGGATCATCTGGACCAGCATTCAAAATCACAAAGCTAAGAGCCTTAGCCACGCACATCTATTAATTTTCTCCCCTTGGTGTCCTATCCATTGCTGGGGGTGTAAACCCTAACATGAAATTGAAGAGTGCTTTGAAAGTCCATTTGCCCTTCAAACTCAAACTCTCCTTCATTACGGATGACGCTGCCATCTTGGCTTGCCTTTGTAAAGTAGAGATTCTGTTTACTGTTTCCTTCTCTCAGCGCCTGCTTTGCTCTCTTCTTCAGGAGTTTCACGTGCAGGTGCTGGACGCGCTCCGTCTGCACGGTGGGGTAGAAGGATGCGGACACCAGGATTTTAAGCTGAGTCAGGATGGAGGACAGCAGACCCAGCACCACCAGTATCAGGAGAATAATGCTGAGAGGAATCCAGGTCTTAGACAGGAGGAGCTTTGGCTCAGGGATGCAGGCGGGTTCAAACAGAGATATGTTAAAGGAAGAATCATGTATGATGTCTTGAGTTCCTCGCTCCTAAAATGAAAGAATAATACCCTCAAGATCCATGCCATTTTTGCCCTCAGTCTTTGTCTTGCTCAGTCCTGCCCTACAATACATAGCGTTTCACATGACCCATGCTTGGGCTGGAGCCGCTAAGGCAACTCCTTTTGTGAGCTAGGACGGGAGCAAAGACAAGGGTCGAGTCTTCTTTATGGCAATTGCAGTGTTTTTCTAAAGCGGGTTTGTGGAAAGATCGATTTCCTTGAGAGAAAAGGTATCTGATCCGTTTGTCTACTCTGTCCTTTCTTTGGAGAGTCAGGATGCCCATGAGACTATTGGAATCTCTGAGAAGAAGGCAGAGAAACCCATTTCACTTCAGCCAACAGTTCTCCTCACAAATTTGACCACATAACCCAGTTTTACGGATCACCTGTTTCTACACTCTAGGAAATGGAGGAGCGAAGAAAGATGGCTTTAGCTCAACTACAGTAGACATGTTTTTGGAGCAGAGCCCCTTAAGATCCAACCATATCCTCCCCATCTTGAAAATACCCCAACGGCAGACCACAAGGTCACAAAGATGTGGAAGCATTAAATTATGTTCTAAATCAACCTTCTAGACATTGGGGGTGGGGAATTATTCTTAGTGTAAGAATACTAAGAATAGTGTTTGTTGAAGGTGGCATTAAATCCTCTGTGTAGAGGTCTCGGACGGCGTTTTGTCATCTCTGCTGGATGCTCACATGGAATGTGTTCCTTTCTGCTTGAAGGCAAGACTACAAATGAGTTGCCCTCAGTGGAGTGACAACAGAGGGCAAAAGATGACATTGAGCCCCCCAGCCAAGCCACCAGCTGAAGTGTGTGCTGATTCAGTGCTTTGTTTTCCCTGACCTGAGAAAGTCATTTAATCTCTCAGTGGATTTGTTTTCTAATTTGGTAAAACAGGAATTAATGGACCAGATCCTGCCCATGAATAAACTACTCCCAGTGTAAATTAAGCACCTTGGGGATGGAGCATTAACCTTACAAACGGGAGTACTTAGTAAGTTATTATCATTGCAGCGCCCCAGAGCCCTGGGGCCAGGAAGAGGGAAATGACTTTTCCAAAAGAACATAGCCACACCTAGAGAACGCAGTGCACCTTGATCTGTCCCAGTACCTGTGAAGACTCTGGAAACGTCATACGTGGTGCATCTCTACAAATGTCAAGTCAAATCTCTAATTTCTCCACCACTGTGCCTAAGGAATGGAAAGCATTTCTGTTGCCTCTTGTTTTCTCTTATTACAAAGACAGTCCACCTACAATTCAACAGAGAGATTTCAGTCCCCAGAGCAAAGCCATGTGCTGCTTTTAATACTAGTGAAGAAACAAACACGTTGAGTGAGTCAGTGATGAGAACTGACTCCCGCAATAAGAAAGCAGCGGGTGTCCGGTCTTGGAAGAAGTTACTTAATAGAGGAATCTAACTGGAGATTTTACATTTGGGATTCAGGGCTTCATTAAGATTGAGCCAACATTTTTGTACAGGGTTGGTGGAGGATAGTCTGGAAGACAAATGAATTCTCTCAAAATGCTGAGCAATATACTAAATAGTACCCTGATGTTTTAAAATGTGTTCACCTCTTTTAAGTAAACATTTTGCCAAGACAGCATGGAGTAATGGACCGAGGACCCGCTCTGGTATCAGACAGCCCTGAAAAGTCAATGCAGACAAAGGCTGTGCACAAGTAGATGCTCAATAAGTAACAACGCTGGCTATTTTTACTTACAATGCCCAGCCATCCAGCTAGCTCCATTTGGCTCATTTCCCTTCTTTCTTTTTTACTTAAAACACTTATTTAAAATCGTACAAGAGTGGGAGAGAAATATTGGCAAAACCACTAGGTGACGTTTCTCTTCCTGCTCAACCTGCAGAAATGGAGGGACCAAGGGCCGCCAGGGCATCCTGGGGTAAGGGCAGGGTCCCTAGAGCCAGCGACTGGCAGCAGTCTCCCAGGCATGGCAGGAAAGGGTTCGGGAGGAGCCCCCACAGCAGTCTCGTATCCACCCCTGCCCCAGCACCCACTACCCTGTTGTCGCTATGAGAGAGGGTGGTGGCCTCCCCCACCAGGATGTGACTGCAATGGCAGCCGGCGAAGCTTAAACATCTTTGCATCCTCAGTACCCAGCGACACCCAAAAATGTATTTGTCAGGACATTGTCATTGGAAAGCTTCTGGGCTTTTTTTGGAAGGCAGAACTTGCCTTTTTCTCCTGCTGTCTAAAATGGTGAGAATTCACAAAGCAGGCATGGGTATTGGCTGAGAGAGAAATATGAGAGAGAAGCAAGAGAAAGGAGGAGAGGAAGAACTGAGCAAGGAAAAAAGACAAAGGAGAATGGGTTGGGGAAGGGGAGGCGAGAGACCCTTTTACCTGCCACCCACTGCCAGGATTAAGCATGTCTGAAGATATAGTTTAGCTTTCACTGGAGACACGGCTTCTATTATCCCCGCTGCTCAGACTTCTAGAGCAACAGAGATCTTGTAATTAACTGAATTCTTTAGGGGCAGCAGAATGCTTGGAGTAATCAACTCTGAGAAGCAGCCCAGGATTCGAGGGGGTGGAGTTGACCTACCTGCTAAGCCAGAAGAAGCCGGGAAGAAAAGTGTGGATGCTACCAGAAGACCTCAGACCCCAAGATAGAGAGAGCTATGGAAGAGTGGGACTTCAAAGGATGGCTTGCAGGCACCCTTTCAGCCATTTTCTTCTAAGATCTCCCCTACTGTATCTTGACAAAAAACAAGAGAAAATCGGACATGTGCAGACAGCTATTGGTGCTTTCACCAGCCCAAGCTGGTGCACTCCACCCCAGCATGCACAACACTCACACGCGCATGCACACACGCACACATGCACATAAACACGCATGTCCCACGTAGCTCAGCTTCACAACCTCCGGGTTTAAAAAAAAAAATCAAGACAATATCTGACAATACCCACAACCTCTGAAATGCCCACATAATCACAAACTTCCCCAGAGAAAAATGGAAAAGAAAAAAATGGGATGCACAAAAACCATGATCTTCTTGGTTGAGACACAGCCGCCAAGAAGAACAAGAACAAAGGAGAGAAAGGCAGATTCCCCAAGGCTCAGGGGTCACCAGCTCAGAGAAACACACTGTCTTGACTAATTAAGATTGTCATAGATCCATCCAATGACCTTTAGCTCCATTCTTTTGGGCGGAGTTTAGAATAGTGGTTCTCAATCTTGGCTGCACATCAGAACCACTTGGAGAGTTTTTTAAAAATCTCCCACCCAGGCCTCACCCCAATCACCTATTGATTTCTTGGTGTTTATTTGCTTGTTCAGGTCCACAACGATGACACTATGGAGCCATGGTAGATAACCACTGATTTAGCAGGTCCTTGCTTTTGGCGCCTGCATCAAATGTTCTCAAAGTATGGTTTCTATAGACCATGCACTTTGAAATCCCGTGGAGAGCTTATTAAAAGGACTCTCCCTGGACACTTGGGTGGCTCAGTCAGTTAAGCATCTGACTCTTGGTTTCAGCTCAGGTCACACTTAAGGTTGAGAACCACTGACCTAAAAACCAAAGTAGCTGTTTCCTTCCTTCCTTCCTTCCTTCCTTCCTTCCTTCCTTCCTTCCTTCCTTCCTTCCTTCCTTCCTTCCTTCCTTTCTTTCTTTCTTTCTTTCTTTCTTTCTTTCTTTCTTTCTTTCTTTCTTTCTTTCTTTCTTTCTAAAGGGTGTTATCTTGTACTAGCACCAGCCATAATATCTGGTTACTTAGGAGCTCTTTTTTCAGTGACCATCCTCTTTAATGCTCTGCTGATGCATTGATAGGCCTCCCATGTTGCATATGGGCTTAAGATGCAATGAAAAGAAGTTCTCGTTCACAGAAGTTGCTCAAGGTCTACCTGCACAGGTCCGAGGGAGGGAGGAAGACAGACTCTAGGTTCACACCAGGTACTCTTGCTTGAGAACCAACTTCATGTTCCGTATCAGAGACACCTATTCTCCCATTTCAGTGTTTGCTAACTATAGAAAGCGAAAAAACTCCCCTTCTCCAGAGATATAAGATCCTAAGGCCTGAAACCGATACATGTTACTTTATTTGGGAAAAAAATGGACGTTGCAGAAGTGACTAAGACAAAGATCTTGAGATGGAGAGTGTATCCTGATTCTCCCGGTGAGCCTTAGCACAATCACATTCATCCTTTAAGAGGGAAGCAGAGAGAGATTTTACATACACAACGGAGATGACAATGTGAAGACAGAAATGAAGATGGAGAGGTTCAGCCACAGCCAAGAAAAGCCAACAAGCCACCAGAAACTGAAAGAAGCAATGAGTAGATTCTTCCCTAGAGTCTGAAGTGATTGTGGCACTGCTAACACTTAATTTTGGCTCAGTGATACTGATTTTGGACCTGTTGCCCCAGAACTATAAGAGAATACATTTTTGTTCTTTCAAACCACCCAGTTTGGGTTAACTTGTTAGAGCAGCCACAGGAAACTAAAATGGTGACCAAAGGTTTTCAGGATGATATCATACTCTAACAACAGGATTTTTAGTCAACTTAACCAACAATTGTTGGGCTCCTTCTACATGCCAGACACTATGCCATCATGGGAATTCCAAGGTGAATAAGTGCTCTGGGAGGTTCATGATCTTTATCAAGACAAGCCAGCCAATAGCCGGGTCGCGCTGCAAGAAGCACAGGTGGCCGCCTACCTCTCGGTGCAGTTTCAAGTGGACCTCGAGCCCCGGCAAACCTTGGAAATGTTTGCCCACTGAGAAAATCAGCTGATACAGAAGATAATCTATGGCTGCAAACAGCACCCAGATGTAGAGATGGGTAAGAATGGGGAGGCAAAACAGCCCCAGGTTCCTCCTCTCTTTAGGAGACAGCCAGAAAGATGGGATGACGACATATTTCTTCCTTTCCTTCTTATTCAGTGGAAGGACACAGGGCCTCTGTAGTTGCCTCTCCATTTCATCGAACCGAACAAATTGTTTGGTGATGAAGATGTTTTCAAACTTCCAACCACAGGGGTCCAAAAATCGCTTCATGAAGAGGCCAGTGCCAAGTAGCACCAGCAAAAGCCCTGCTAGGGCGAGGAGCTGCCGTCCCAGGGAGGACAGTACTTCGGTCGCCGTCACCATCTGGTACAAGACACCCAGGACTTGGCCTTTGGTGTCATTTAGCTGTGCCTCCAGGGCTTGGCTGGGACTGAAAAGAGAGACTGCCAGAGTCTGGTTCCAAGAAATAAGGTCATCAAATAGACTTAGATGAGTGGCAAGGCCATAAATCCACTGAATGGCTTCAATATATTTTTTCAAAAGTGGAAAATGTATGGAAAAGCTCTTGGCCTTTACGTTGCAAGTCATACTGTCCAGGAGACCTTTGAAGTTATGAAAAATATTTTCCACATGTCCAAAGATTACCATCCCGGTGCCAGCAGTAATCAAAGCATTCCTGCCCTCCCGCAGGCCACAGGAGAGGAAGAGGAGGAGGATGAAGCATCGCGCATGCTTGGAGCAGCAGAGCAGAACACAAGTGACCATCCAGGAGGAGATGAAGGCTATGAATGAGGACAGAAGCCAGGAAAAGGCCATAGACAGGAGGCCCACTGAAATGAAAGCAACAAAACAGCAAACCCCCCAATGTTGGATAAAGTCCATCCATCCAGGACTTCTTGGAGATACGTACATCCCCCAAAGACTTAGGAAGATATCAGTGCCTGAGGTAAAGACACCCATGCTCCTTGTGTCCCTGGAAAGAAAAAAGAAACCAGGCTCAGACAGTGATTTTGAATGTCCTCTGTCACTTTTTAAAGGGCATGGTGGTAGACTGGTTGCAAAAACATAGCTGTAATTCTTTACCCATCTCTATCTCCACACACCTCCCTTTTTTAAAATAAGCTTCATGCCCAGTGCAGAGCCCAACACAGAACCCAACGTGGGGTTTGAACTTCTGACCCTGAGATCAAGACCTGAGCTGAGATCAAGAGTCAGATGCTTAACCAAAAGAGCCACCCAGGCGCCCCTCCACACCCCTTTAAATGTAACTTTACAGCTTCTCCCATCAAGAGGTGGGAGAAATAGAACCCAATAAGAGGTGGGTTTGTTTCTCCAACCCTTGAATTTGGAATGGTTTTTTTTTTTAATTTTTGAAATTTATTTTTTATTTTTTTATTACTTTTTTTTTTACAGTTTATTGTCAAGTCGGTTTCCATATAACACCCAGTGCTCATCCCCATAAGTGCCCTCTTCCATGCCCATCTCCCCCCTTCCCCCCCTAAACACCCATCAGTCCTCAGATTGTTCTCAGCATTCAAGAGTCTCTCATGGTTTGCCTCTCTCCCTCTCCCCCACTATTTCCCCCCTTCTTCTCCCGCATGGTCCTCCATTAAGTTCCTCCTAATCCTCCTATACATGCAAACATATGATATTTGTCCTTCTCTGCCTGACTTATTTCGCTCAGCATAACACCCTCAAGGTCCATCCATGTTGCTACACATGGCCAGATTTCATTCTTTCTCATTGCCATGTAGTATTCCATCGTATAGATAAACCACATCTTCTTGATCCATTTGTCCATTGATGGACTCTTAGGCTTTGGGATGTCTTTGATCAGTAAATGCAGCAGAAGTGACAGTGTGCCAGTCCCAAGTCTATGATTCACTCCTTCTTCTCCCTTGGAGCCCTACTACTGACTTTTTAACAAGTCCAGGTGAGTTAGTCTGTGGTAGCAAATTGCCAAAAGTCTAGTGGTTTATAGAAACACATATTTAGGGGTGCCTGGGTGGCTCAGTCGGTTAAGTGTCCAACTTCAGCTCAGGTCATGATTTCACTGTTCATGGGTTCAAGCCCCACATCGGGTTCTGTGCTGGCAGCTCGGAACCTGGAGCCTGTTTCAGATTTTATGTCTCCCTCTCTTTCTCTGCCCTTCCCCGCTCATGCTCTGCCTCTCTCTGTCTCAAAAATAAACTATAAATTTTTTTTTTTAAAAAGGAAACACATATTTATTCTCTTACAGTTCTGGAAGTCAGAAGTCTCAAATGAGTCCAGGGGCGCTTGGGTGGCTTAGTCGGTTGAGCGTCCGACTTTCGCTTAGGTCATGATCTCGTGGTTCGTGGGTTCGAGCCCCGTGTCGGGCTCTGTGCTGACTGCCAGCTCAGGGCCTGGAGCCTGTTTCAGTCTGTGACTCCCTCTCTCTCTGACCCTCCTCTGCTCACGCTGTCTCTCTCTCCTAGAAATAAATAAAACATTAAAAAAAAGAAGATGTCTCAAATGAGTCCAGAGAGCTGTATTCTTTCTGGAGGCTCCAGGGGAGAATCCATTTCCTCACTTTTTCCAGCTTCTGGGAGCTCTTGGACTCTCCTCGATCTCAAAGCCAGCAATGTTGCACCTTCTTTCCTTTCAGACTTCTGCTGCCATCCTTATGTCTTTTAGGACTCTGGTCCTCCGGCTTCCCCTTTATTAGGATCCCTGTGATTATATTGGACCCACCCAGATAACCCAGGATAATCTCCCCATCTCAAGGTCCTTAACTTAATCCCATATGTAGAGACCCTATCGCTATGTAAAATAACATAGTAATAAGTTCTGGGTCTTAGGACATGGGCATCTTGGGTGTGGGGGGATGTGAGTCAGCCTATCTCACCAGGTTGGGCTGTAACCAATAGCCAGCCAATACCAATCAACTGCCAGACACCTGAAGGGGGCTATCCTAGACCAGCTAGTCACCACCAGCCCACCAGCTGACCACAGCTACCTTAGCAGTAATAAATGCTTATTTGTTCTTTTATCCAGCACAGTCATTGAATTCTGTGCTGCTTTATTAGGCACTGATTGTTAATGGATAAAAACAGCAATACTATACCATGGATCGTAATAATTGAAATAAGCCCTAGGCTGATGAATAGGCTGAGATTTCAATACATTGCATAATGTAAGATCACTTTTTGATAGTCATCCATTTTCTTCTGCTCTGATTTTGCAGACCGGAAAGCATACCAAAGGGCACCCAAACTTAAATGTGGCACTGGACTGAAGCCATTGTGTCTCTGCTCTGTAATGACTGTGTCTTACCCACACCCTCCAGCCACCCCTACCCTCTGAGGGCAGTTGTTCCCTGAGAATCTTCAAGAACAATAAAAATATTTTGTCATCGAATTAATCACCTTTTCTTTATTCCCAGATCTGGAGTAATTAAAATGAAGGTGCTATGAGGCTGCTACCACCCTGTCAGTCATGCATCTTTAGGTCTGTGATGCACTCAGACAGTCTTGGGTTCATTTGGAATGATATGAAATCAATTTGAGATGTTTCTTTCTTGATTGGCATGAAAGTGTCTAAAGACAGCACTATACCATATGTATGGGATTTTAATGAAGACATTGATCGGTTTTTAAAAAATTTATATTTTATTTATTTCTGAGAGACAGAGAGAACGCATGAGCAAGCAGGGGAGGGTCAGAGAGAGAGGGAGACACAGAATCTGAAACAGGCTCCAGGCTCTGAGCTGGCTGTCAGCACAGAGCCCGACACGGGGCTCAAACCCACAAACTGTGAGATCATGACCTGAGCTGAAGTCGGATGCTTATCCGACTGAGCCACCCAGGTGCCCCAAGACATTGATCAGTTTTTAAACACTGTCAAATAAGGGTGCCTGGGTGACTCAATTAAGCATCTGACTCTTGATTTTGGCTCAGCTCATGATCTCATGGTCATGAGACTGAGCCCGGAATTCAGCTCTGCGCTGATGGTGTGGGGCCTGCTTGGAATTCTCTCTCTCTCTCTCTCTCTCTTTCTCTCTCCTTCCACCCCCAAACAGTCCTCTCCAATTTATGCATGCATGCATGTACGCTCTCTCTCTCTTTCTCTCAAAATAAATAAATAAAGTGAAAAAAAAATACTGTCAAATACATCCCTTCTCACATCAGATATGCTGGAGCTGGATTTCTGGAACAGTTGGGCAACTTTGAGTCAGGGAATTATACGCGGTGTGTGAGAGGTGTCCAGGCATTGGCTAATGAGCGTGAACTGAGCAACTCAAGGTGAAAGAACAATTCCCTTTGTGTTCAGGTTGAATGAAGTTGATGAAGGGTAGAAATGAGATGGAGAAGGAGGCAAGTTAGGAGCAAATCTGTGGATGTTTCTCCTACAATAATGTACAGCTCCCATCACGTGAAGGGAAATGCTTGGCACAGAAAAGAGATCTGGAGAGAGGTTAAGTGTTGAAGAAGGGTGATCCCCATGTGGGACCGGCCTCCTTAGAGATTTGCAATCCCACATAAGAGGGTACTCTCTCTCTCTGCAGAGGGGAATTGAGTAGCCATTGGAATGGGGATCAGGAAAAGGATGGAGCTCTTTTCTCCTGCACGCTTGTCTCCTTTCAGATTTGGAGGCTGGTTTGGAGGTTGACGGTGCTCCCTTGCACTGACCCCCTCCCACTCTGACTTGACCCCTGGAATCACCAAAGGGCTCCCGTGCCCCCGAACTTCCCCCAGCACTGCCAGCCGGAGTCAGCCGCCTGGTGGCCTGGACGGGAAGACAGCTGCTGTCAGCGGTGAGCAGGTGGGCACCGTGCATCAGAGCAGGTCGGAAGTGCTGCCTCTCCTACCAGACAGGTCCCCGTTCACCTTCCTTCACAGAGCTTTGGATTTGACCCCAAACCATTATTTGACTAAATGATCCACTAAAAGGGATTCACTGCCTAGTCTGTTCACTTGATGTAGAACATCTCTCTCCATCTTCCCCAAAGCTCCTGAAGACAAATGCTCTTTGCATTTCACACAGAGGCCAAGGCTCGGGGTGCTTGCTGGAATCCAACAGCCATCACAGAGAGAGGCGGTGGTGGGGTCCACACCCACCACCCCTGCCCCCTGGCCCACTTCCCTGTGCCCCCCCTCATGGCCAGATCCCATGACTCCAGCTTGTGTGACAGGACACTCAGCTCAGTGTGTCTCTGCTGGAAACGCACGACACATTCCGGCAGTGACTCTTTAAGAGCTGACCTGTATATCACAAACCCATTTCTACTGCTCATTTGCTCCTCTGCAGAAAATAGTTGGCCCCGTAAGGCTGTGTTGCGCTTCAGTAGATTTTTCTCTCAAGCAAATCAGAAACCCCAGCTGTTTTTTTGGTCTCATATGCTTTGCGAGGCACCCTTTTGCTTGCTTCCTAAAAAATTAATAATGTGTATTTTGGATTCATATTTCCCTTCTCCTGTCTTCATTCTTGCACAGTGTGTTCCTAATACAGAGATTTCTCTGAAAGTAAGAAATAGATTTATGGACACATTAAAAGTTTAACATTGGGCAATAAAAACTAGTATCAATTAAATAAGATACACAATAGCAATTTTGTCCTGTAAGAGGCACATGTTTTCTTAATGAGCAACAGATTTAATATTACCCTCTTTGTTTTTGTACCAAAAACAGCATGTCACCAAAAGACACCAAGACTTTCTGCAGTGAGAAGACTGCGTGCACCTTCTCTTATTTTACAGTTTGAGCCACAGACCTGGGCTTGGGACCGCATGTCTGGAAGCTGGTGTCCAGTCTGCCCTTCCTGTCACTGTCAGATATGATCTTGATTTCTTCTCCAATCTGTTTCTCATTTTCCCTGCTTGAATATCAGTTCCTCCTGAGCTCCTTCCTCCTGTGGTTGGTCAAGGGGAGTTTTAGCAAGCCCCTCAAGATGACCAGGACAGAAAGTGCCCAGGAAATGCAGCCCTTTTTTTTTTTTTTTGCAGCCACCAAAGGAAAAAAAACCCCTGAGAACTTCTATTCTCTGAAGGTCTTCAGGCAATGACTGAATGCCCCAAGTTCAAGGGAGGTGTAGCGACAGGAGCCGGATTGTACCGCCTTCGCAGCACTGACCTTTCCACGGCCCCGTTAGATGGCTGCTGATTTCCTTCCTCTTCGTCAGAGGTGTCATTGTCCTGCTGGCCTTCCCTTGGATGGCTCCAATTCTTTCCTTTGAGGCAAATCTGTGACTTGGACCTGGAGAAGCCAGTTGCTTCTTTCTTTCCCATAGACTTTAGAGCCAAAAGAATCTTACAGATCAGGGTATCTTAAACTTGAGTGTGGGATCCCTGGGGGAACCTTCTGACAAGCTTGCCTTTCTGACAAGCTCCCAGGCGACTGATGCTGCTTGTCTGAGGACAGGCCCTGGATAGCAAGCTCTAGAATTCAGCCCTGTCTGATGGCGCTTTCCATGATGAGGGAAACGTTCTCTCTCTGTGCTGCCCAGCACAGTTGGCGCTAGCCGTACGTGATGATTGAGCACTTGAAATAGAGCCAGTGTGACTGAGGAGTTGAATTTTTAACTTTATTTAATTTTAATAATTCAAATTTAAATAGTCACATGTGGCTGGTGTCATTGTATTGAAGGGCACAGCTCTAGATGATTGACACTTAGCCAGCTGATTTCCACAGATGAGGAAACAAAATCCAAGGAGGCTCAGGGACTGGCCGAGGCTGTCTGGCAATGGAGACAGAGCTGGGAGGGGGGACCCCAGTTGCCCACTTTTCCCATCATGTCAGCATCTCACTTCTGACTCTTTGTGAACCTGTTTCAAAATCCTTACCAGTGCTCCTGGGTAAATGGAGTTAAAATTTCCCACATCCCAAATTTGCCTTCAGGCACCACAACACTCGTAAATAGAAAAGTGGGCAAACTATAGCCTGTGCCTCCCAGACTTAGCAAAATCATAACAACAATAGATAATGCCTCTCAATTTGTTCACCAAGTGCCTGGTCACTGTTGTCACATCTGCTGTACATTATATCTAATCTTCACAGCTCTAGATTTATAGGTATTATTGTAGCTATATATTTTAGATGAGAGAACTGAGGTTCAGAGAAGTTAAATAACTTGCCCAAGGTCACACAGCTGATAAGTGGAAAAACTGGAATTCTGACCCACATTAAGTAGCTCTGAGGGTTCAAGATGGGCAGCTTCTTAGATCCTCTTTAAATGATCTTGAAAGAACAGCTTCTAAATGTATTTGAACTATATTCCCAGAACTTTGGTCATGCATGCATGCAGAAATGTGGACTTAACAATGCTGGTGTCAGCTTTCCTTGCACTGGCGTCTGCCTCAGGGGCCCCCTATCTCCTCTGCCAGCACAGCCCAGGCAGCCCCCACCCCACCCCCAGAGCTGACTGTGGATCGCTTTTCCATGGGCCGACACTTTTGCTCCATGGTGCCCTGCTTCATGTTTTCCTTAGAGACGACTCCAGCTAACGTTGGGCCCAGACTTACTCATCCCTAAACCAGCTCATCGAGTGACAGGCCCTTCCCAGTTCCGAGAGAACACAGGGCCTTTGTTCTCTCCCAGGGTAGGGGAGCTAAGAGGTACATTGGGTGCTGGTACCCACATTCTCTGTTGGGGTGTGGAGGGGGTGCAGGGTCGGGCTGTCCTGTGCTGGAAAATCAGGGCAGTGTGCACAGCACCCAACATTTTACATACCTGCAAGCATCAGACAAGCACTGTAAAGAGTAAAGGAAATCAGGAGGTACAGGCACTTCTTGGGGTGAGGGGTGTGGAGCAATGGGCAGTAGGTCTTGGGGGACTAGAGAGCCCAGACCCCAGTTTAAGCTATAGGAACAGTAGCCTTCATCCCAACAGACTTTTTTCAAGCTTGTATGGAGTCCCAGGGTTGCCAAATGTTCTGATTTCTTTTCAAAAGAAGCCAGAAATCTAGACTCTTGGGGGTGACATCTCCTGACACACACACACACACACACACACACACACACACACACACACACCTTTTTAAATACTCTAGCTGCTTTTTGGCCACGGACTGTCAGTTTGCAAATCTTGGTCTTTGGGGAGTCCTTACTGCTCCTTCCTCTCGGCTCTGCCTCCCTCCTTACCTTATTCCTCCTCTTCTCCTTTGTTTTATCCCCTGGGACATTTTAAAATCTTGCTGTAGGCCAGTTTCCAGCCTCATGCATAAAGGTTTTTCTCTACGCCTTGGGAATATTTCTTTCCCCCAGAGATCTAACTCCCTTCCCGTCCCTTGTGCTTACTAGATGGAGCCCTCCCTCCCTCTCTCCATTGCTCCTTCTGGGAGCTGCTGAAAGGTTAACCTGATCCTTTTAACCTGCAATTTCTCTTTGTTGTGCCTCCATTATCGATAATGCTTACTGCCTGACTCAACATCCTTGTCTCCCTGGGACAGAGTACCTGCTTCTTGCTTTTACCAACAGCAATATCCCAAGAGCAATCACCACTTTCCTGCCTCAGTCCCTAAACTATAGTTTGCGCTGCACCCTGGGTGGGAGCACGGCAGCTGGAGTCCACAGGAGCGCATCACCAAGGCCCCTTCTCTTTAAAGCCATTTTTGTGGGTGTGGCTGGGAGGGGGCAAGGAAGGAACCAGGGCTGGTGATGAGGAGCAGCCCCCCCCCCCCCGCCCCGTTCTGCAGCCCAGGCAGCTTGTGTAGCCAGCCGGAGCCAGCACTTATCTGCTTTCACGCAGAGTCGAGCTGTTGCCATGGGAAACAGAAGCCGCCAGCCTCCTCCATCAACCCTGCGCAGCAAGCACGGGCTGTGAGGTGCATACACAGTGGCTCCAGGGGGTGTCAAACGTCAGACGCAGCAGCACAGGCCCCCAGTCCCTGCCTCGGAGCCCTGCTCGTCCACTCTGTGGGGGAGTCATGGAGGCCAATGTTCCTGGAGCTGTACCACGTCCTCGCTGCACATGCAAAGCCCAGGCAGCAGCCGGGGCAAACGCAGCCATGACATAATGGCTAGAGCTGCCAACCAAGTGGCCTATCCTAGGAGCTTGCTAGATCAGGGGACAGTGGAGACGCAGAACACCAGTGCTGCTCTGGGGCTGACCAACAGAAACCTCAGTGCAAGTGCAGGAAAAATCCAGGTGGCGAGGTGGCTTCCTCGTGGAAAGAGCTACAGATCGAGGTCTAGACAACTGTCCTACTGCTGCCCTCTTTCCCTACTTGTGGACACTCACCTTGTCTGACATCCCCAAGTTTCCGTTAAGTGAGACCAACCCATTCTGACCCTGGTCCCCATGCAGAAGCCAACAAGCCCAGAGGCCGTCTGGGGACACCCTGGGGAGAAGGAGTCCCAGTCTGATGATCCGTCTAATCTTTCTGTGCTCCTCCAGCTGACTCTGCTACCCCCTGGGGAGAAACTAACTACCCACCAACCTCTCTCACCATATTTAGGACCATGGGAATCTCATCTGAAAGGAAATTGGGATGAAGGTCAAAGTCATAGTGGAATGGAAAAAGAACATAGGGCAGGGAGATGGGAGACCTGGGGCCTCGCCCGCTTCCACTCAGGATGAGCTGTGTGACCTTGGGTAGGTCACTTCACTTCTCAGGAAGTGGGCTAAGTGAATTCTAAAGTTCCTGCTAGCCCAACAGTCTGAAGTGAAAGGCACAGGAGAGCCGCCCAGCTGGCTCGGGGAGGCGGGAGGGGGGGAGGTAGGGGTGGCTGGTTAACAAGCCCAGCGCCTTTAAGTGGGACAAAGGAAGACTGGAGGATTCTTGGCCTTCCTTCTTCCTTCCTTTTTCCTTCCCTCTTCCTTCCTCCCTCCCTCCCTCCTTTCCTCCCTCCTTTCCTTCCTTCCTAAGCTCTTGGAAACTTAGAGTTTGTTTGGGAACACACAGGTCTCTCAGACTGCCAAAATCGCCCCAGCAGGCACATAGGCCTCCTTTTGAGGTGGAGTGAATTCCTCGTTCCCTTTTCATTGTTCTTGCCTTGGGAAAGCCAGCAAATGCCTTCCTCCCTGAAAGCCACCTTCACACAAGAAAGGAAAGATTAATGAAAGCTCCTGGGTAAACAGAAGAGCATTTAGGGGACAATTCAGTCTGTCACTGTGCGGGGCATTGTCAGCGAGGCCGGGCAGCCTTCCACGGCAGGGCTGGGCCAGCGCTGCTCCTCACACCACCCAGAGGCTAGGCCGACAGGGATGCATCATGCAAAACCTGGGGAAGGGGCAAGTTTACCCAAGCTGCTCCTGGTAAGGGGGTCATCATTCTGTGGTAGTCTCCAAGGTTAGGGTATTCAGATCCCTCTGGCCAGCATTAATAAAGACTTCTTTCTGGTATTTCTGTACACAGATAAACTCTCTGGGGTAGAGGAGGAGCTTAAAGTATCCCCTGGTCTCAATTGTATATTCCAATTTACTAATTTTTTTTAATTAAAAAAAAAACAACAAAAACAATTCCAGGGCCGCCTGGGTGGCTCAGTCTGTTAAGCGTCTGACTTCACAGGTCATGAGCTCACAGTTTGTGGGTTCGAGCCCCATGTTGGGCTCTATGCCGACAGCTCAGAGTCTGGAGCCTGCTTTGGATTCTGTGTCTCCCACTCTCTCTGCCCCTCTGCTACTCACGCTCTGTCTCTCTCTTCCTCTCAAAAATAAATAAACATTAAAAATAAAAAAATAAAAGGCAATTCCAGGGGCACCTGAGTGGTTCTGTCGGTGAAACATCTGACTTTGGCTCAGGTCATGATCTCATAGTTAATGAGTTCAAGCCCCGCGTCGGGCTCCGTGCTGACAGCTCAGAACCTGGAGCCTGCTTCAGATTCTGTCTCCCTCCCTCTCTGCCCCTCCCCTGCCTGTACCTGTCTCTTTCTCTCTCAAATATAAATAAACATTTTAAAAATTTTAAAGCAATTCCAAGAACAAAATATTCTAAAAGTTTACTTACAGGTTCCTCTCAGATTCTTCTCTGAGTGCAAAAACACCCTTCCCATGGACTCTGAGATTTGATACACAGCAGGAAAAAAGGAACCAAAAGTAACATGAGGGTCACATCACCATGAATCAGCATCTTTATTTCCTCCACAAAGTGACTAAGTCATAATATTGACAAAGGGAATAATTGATGCAAAGGAACTCCATATTTCTTTCTAGTATTTTCCTCAGAATAGATGTTCAGAAATCAATTCTAGCAAATTAGGAAATAAGGCATTTTCAAACACAGGAGGGTGAGTTAGGAAAATTTGGAAGGTCGTCTCCCTCTGGCCTCTTCTCTCTTCACTCTTATTCTTGTTACTCCAGCTCCAGCACAGGGACAGTGACAAACTTCACCATCCCCCTTACCATCCACAGTCCCAGAGGCATGAAGGACCCATCTTTCCACTGATGACCCAAGACAGGTGTAAGTGTCTGTGTAATGCCTCCCAATCTCTCCATTTTGGGAAGTTTAGCCTCCAAGAGGATCAGTTTGTGTGGTTTGAGGAAATTAAGGAAACCTCAACATCTTTCTACAAAATTGTTCTTCACCTTTTGAGTGAGACCCATAATATAACTGGAGAAGCTTTGATCTTAAAATTCAAGATGCCTGCCAAAATGTAGAAGGGTTGATACAAAGAAAAATATAAACTAAACAAGTCTATGGATGGGTCGTTGAAAACCCAGGTGAAATATCATGGTGAAAATACCCAAACCTATGATGTTTGGAAGACACAGGCATCCACCATGAATAACAAGGATCCCACAAATGTTATAAGCAAATAAACAAAAAAAGAAAAAGAAAAAAAAATCAGTGAACATGTCTGGAGTGAGTTGGAAGGAAGTGGGTACAGGGGCAGGGAGCTGAATTAGGAGGTAGGGCCAGTGTATTAGTCAGGGTTGTCCAGAGAAATGGAACCAGTATGGGAAGCGTGTGTGTGGAGAAAGTGGTTTATTCTAAGGAATTGACCCACATAGTTAAGGAGGCTGGTAAGTATAAAATCAACAGCGGGAACCAGCAGTTGAGATCCCCAGGGAAGGGGTGATGTTGCAGCTTGAGCCCAAAAATGATTTGCAAGCAAAATTCCTGCTTTTATGAGAGCCTCATCCTTTTTCTCTCTTAAGGCCTTCAACTGATTGGATGAGGCCCACCCACCTTATAGAGGATAATCCACTTTACTCAACATTTAGTCATTTAAATGTTAATCTCCTCTAGAAAATAACCCTCATATCAACATCAGACCAAATATCTGGACACTAGTCAAACTGACCCAGAAAATTAACCATCACAACCAGATCTGAATAATGGAAAGGAAAGACAAAACAGAGAGTTTTGTTTGTTTGTTTGTTTAGGATGAAAAGAATGAATGGACAGAATTGGTAGCTGGAGGAGAGAAAGGAAAGAAATCAGTGATGATCAAAATTTTCCACCTGAACCAAAAAGAGCATGGAAGAATGTGGCTAGAAAAATATGATTCCACAAAGATGCCCAGATGAAAATATTCATCCTGTAAACATCCAGGAATATGGTCCCGGGCTTAGGAGAAGACATGAGATATAGAGAGCTGCGAATTAGCCAGGCAAGTGCTTGCAACATAGCATCCAGAACATTTCTGCCTAATTGAGTTGCAAGTTAAAGCTGTGAGGCCAAATGGATTTTCAGAGGGAGACAGTATAAAGAGAGAAAGCAGAATAAGGGATTAGGTTTATTGTGGACTGGGCTACAGAATACCATCTTGAAACTCAAAGGGCCAGGGCTTCTGTTGACTCATCAAGCTCACAGAGCATGTTCAGAGAAGGCTTCAGGAATATAGCTGCCTCCAGTGAGGCTGAGAAGTATGTCTTAGCCTTGGGAAGGATGGTGGGTAGGGAGGTTTCCAGGAAAAAAAAAAAAAAGGCACATGCAAATAAATGCATGGAGACAAATGAGAGCATTGCAAAACATCAGGATGTGACTGTACTTAAGGAGGTTGGGACAAGCTGTCTTAAATGAGGGCAATAAGCCTGTCAGAATCATATCCTTGTCAGGGAGCCAACTCAGTCCTGAAAGTGAAGAGGGCCATTGAAGCAAAATACTTTCATTGGAATAAGAAGGCCTGGACTGCAGCGTGGATGCCTGATGTAGGTTATCCAGAAGCAACACTGCGGGCCCCAAGAAAGGGATGGCTCAGGGAATGGAGGGCCAGAGGCAGTCTGGAGATCACAAAGGTGTGAAGAAGAATGAAGCCCAGGAAATGGCCCTAGACTTTGGTGACTAGGAGGTCACTGTGCTCTTGGAAGAGCCATGGCATTAGAGGGCTGGGAGTGAGCCACAGGCAAGGACAGGGGAGGGAGGTGGCAAGCCCACAATTACTTTGTAACACTGTCCAGTGTCGGGTATGAAACCAGGGGTGGGTAGATAGTAGTTGAGAAGCAGTGGTTTTGGTTTTTGGAGAACAGAGAAAATTTAGCATATCAACCTCACAAAGGAGAATGAAAATAGGGGAGGTAAGATGAGGAGAAAAGAAAGAAAGCTGAGGATGGGCTCAATCTTCTTGGGGAAGGAGGAGAAGGGGTCTTCTGTTCTCAGAAAAGAGGGAAGAGGTGGGTTGCCAGCTTGTGGAGAACACATATGGGAGCAGCTGCCTGCAGAACACAGGAAGAAGGAAAGCAATGTGCCCCCCAGCCCCCAAAACCACAAAGGGGAAGCAGTGAACACCCCCCCCCAGCAGTGCCCAAGCCTTGGAATGAGAGCCGCCAATTGGGTTCAGACTTTGGAGACGCCTAAAAGTGGGTGCTACTTGCTAGGAATTTACCCAAGGGATACAGAAATGCTGAGGCATAGGAGCACATGTACCCCAATGTTCATAGCAGCACTCTCCACAATAGCTAAAACATGGAAAGAGCCTAAGTGTCCATCAACAGACGAATGGATCAAGAAGATGTGGTTTATCTATACCATGGAATACTACATGGCAATGAGAAATAATGAAATCTGGCCATGTGTAGCAACATGGATGGACCTTGAGGGTGTTATGCTGAGCGAAATAAGTCAGGCAGAGTAGGACAAATACCATATGTTTGCACGTATAGGAGGATTAGGAGGAACTTGACGGAGGAACAAGGGGGAGAAGAAGGGCGGAAATGGTGGGGGAAAGGGAGAGAGGCAAACCATGAGAGACTCTTGAATGCTGACAAAAACTGAGGACTGATGGATGTGGGGGGGAGGGGGGGATGGGCATGAAGGAGGGCACTTTGGGGATGAGCACTGAGTGTTATGTAGAAACTAATTTGACAATAAACTATTTGTAAAAAAAAAAAAAAAAAAAGTGGGTGCTACTTAAGGTTGAGGGGCTGGAATGCTTACATTCAGCTGTTGCTGTGCAAGTTTTCTTTCCTGGGCTTCCAGGGGACCCAGACAATGGGAAAGCTACGCGCAGATGGGAATTTTAACCTGAATCAGCTCCAGTGTTCCTTAATGACTTTGAAAGTCTGCAATTAGAGGACTGGACAATTTGAGAGTCTCTGTACCCCGGAGAGAAATAGCTTCAGAACAGCGATGGTTGAGAGGGCCTGGTGTGCAGCAAACTTCCTGATTCCCACTCCAAGGCCTGGGGACCACGGGCATCTCTAAGATTCTGCCTGGCACGTGGAACAGGGAGCAGTCTGTCACCACGGAAGCTCCATAAGATCCTAGGGTCAGTGGCATCTAACTGTTCTCTTTCCTGCCATCCGGAATCTGCCCCAGAGGCAATTTTAGTGTTGATGAGTCAGGAAGCATGGGAAATAAGAGGTGCACTTCAGACTTGTGAATCATCCAGCTCGGGAATCTCTGGAGAACAAGGCAGGGAGTGGGTGTTTTGTGAGACTACAGGCTCGCATAGACAAGTGTCTTCGTTTTGTCCAGTTAGTAGGTTTTAGCCCCTTAAAAATGGCTGTAGTCTTTCCTGACCAGCCCATTAGAGGTGGTGATTTTCCTACGTTGAATGGACAATGAGAGACTTTTGTCCCATGAGTCCTGTCGTGTGATCTCTGCTCAGAAACCCTCTCCTTTTAATCTCAGAGTGATATTCCCAAGTGTTTCTCTGAGATCACCCAAGTCATATCCTTTACAATTAAAGATCTGGATCATTCCTGCTATCTCAATGTGGAAGTCTTGCAGTGTTTTGCACTCAAGTCCTTACTGAGGCTGCTCCCTACCTCCACCCGCAGGGCCCCGATAGGAGAGATAACAAATATCCCAATTGTTCAAGCCACTTTTTCTTTTGGCAAGCTTTATCTTATAGAGCAGTTTTAGGTTCACGGAAAAACTGAACTGAAGAAGGTACAGGATTTTTCATATACTCCCTGTTCCCGTGCATGTAAAACCACCCTCGCTATCAACATCGCACACCAGCGTGGACAATGTGGTACAACAAGCCTGCACTGGGACATCATAGTCCCCCGAAGTCCATAGTTTCTATCACAAATCACTCTTGCTGTCATTGATTCCCTGGGTTTGGACAAATGTGTAATGACGTGCCCATTATTACAGGGGATATTCAGTCACACACAATAGTTCCATTGCCCTGAAAATCCTCGTGCGCATACCTGTTGATCCCTCTCTCTCCCTAACCTCAGCAACCATAGATCTTTTTATTGTCTCCATGGTTTTAGGGAGACACAGAATCTGAAGCAGGCTCCAGGCTCTGAGCTGTCAGCACAGATCGTGACACGGGGCTCGAACTCACAAGCAGTGAGATCACCACCTGCGTTGAAGTCAGCCACCCAGGTGTCCCAGGGGGATTTTCTCCTGACGCTGTAACAACTTGCAAACTCCATAAACTCAGTGGCTTAAAAGAACACAAATGTATTCTCTTACAGCTCTGAAGGTCAGAAGTCTAAAGTGGGTCTAACAGGGTTGGAATCCAGGTGTCAGCAGGGTTCTGTCTCTTTCCGGATGTTCTAGGGAAGAATCCGTGTCCTTGCTTTTTGCAGCTGCCCACGTTCTTTGGCTAGTGTGCCCTTGATCTTCAAAGCCAGCCATTGCACCACTCTGACCTCTGCT